CTCCTCCTCCTCCTCCTCCTCTCCCTCGTCACTGTCCCCAGCCCTCCTTCCTTTGGCCAGAAGCCATCAGGTAAGGTTGGAAAGAGTCTGACCGCCCTCCTGGAGTTTCGGAACTACATTCATTCGTTCTCACCAGCTGGCAAAGGAGTACCAGGTCCTGGGCTCTGCCATCTGTGCCAGCGCCTTCCCTGCTGGGCAGGCCCGGAGCGAGGCCGCCCGAGGACTCTAAGCACACAGTCCCTCTGGAGGGTTCCCTTTGCTCGTCCCACTCCGTTTCAAGACGCTGACGAAGGTTTACACGGGCTGCCGTGCGGTCACCCTCGCCTCCGTGGGTCTAGTTCGGGATCTGACAACCACAACAAGGGACCTGGCCCGGCGCGGACTTCAGCTTCGGTGCTGCTGCTACTCAGATGCTCGTCGGGGACTAAGAGCGGCTCGGTGCAGTGGACCCGGGCCGGGTGGGCCTCGTGGGCCTGGCCTCCTGGCACCTGCTGCGCTTTCCCACCCTGTTCAGGACCACTAAATGCTGAAACGTGGATGCATATGGAAATAAAGGCGATTCATGGTGTGCCCGAGGGTTTTTTTTTTTTTTAACTATTTGTGTAAAACCACCCTTTGAAGCAGTAACTATCAAGTCTGAAAAGCAATGATGTTTCCATTCATCTATTTCTGGGGGAAACCTTAGTTCTAGGGATTTAACATCCTCTTAAGTAAAATTTCACTTAACAGTATTCCTTCCGTAAGCAGCCTTTTTTTTGTCAGACCATTGCCTGATTTTAATATAATAAAGCGTGCGTTAATATTTAGTAGGCTGTGCCCTTCTTCATCTCGGCATACTAATTAGGGGCAGTGTAATATTTCACATGCTTTGGGGTTCAGCCCTTTGTGGAAGAATACTTAGGATTTTTAGAATAGGCAGAATTGGGGCTCTTACGTGCTTCCGTAATGACAAGCGAATTTCCATCCACCAAATGGAGTAGGATATTTTCGTCATGCCACGCAGTGCCCTACTCCTTGCCTCTGTGTCCCGTATTGGGAACTGGAAGCAGTGCCTTTTTTATTCTGAGGTGGTCTCCAGAAGCCGCTCCGGCTGGCTGGGACTTGGGGTCCTGCCTCTACCTCCCAGAGAGCTGGGGTTACAAGCATGGCCACTGTGCCTGGCGTGAGAGTTCTTTTCATAGGGATAACGTTTTGCTTACCATGCTCCTAGTCACTGTTCCTGTCAACAGGTGGACTCCTGCACTGTCTCCCTGTGTAGGGATTCAGGGGTAGGGAGGGCTTCACAGTGCCCTGAGATGGCAAAGCCACCGCTTCTGAAAGTGCCCCCTCAGGTTGGCACCAGGAATGCAGCTCGGGTGTCGCTTCTGACAGCTTCCTGGTCTCGGGGCTGGGCCAGGTCCCTCTGGGTGGAGATCACACTGCCTGGCCGCTCTGGTGACTTGCTGTGACCTGACCTGCTGCTCTCCTGCCGAGATCTCCAGCAGGTCCCTTTGTGGCCTCTTGTCCTTCCCCTCAGGGGAAGCAGGGGTTCTGTCTGTCTTGTGTCCCTGTCCCAGCCCTAGCAGGGAGCCACAGAGGAAGTTGAGGGCTGGGCCTCAGGGCTCTGCCTTTCCTCAGAGCAGGAAGTTGAGAGTCAGCTGCTGAAAGCTTCCCACCACAATGCGGTGGCCAGAGAAAAGAAGCGGGTGGGCTGGGCAGTTCAGTCTGGTCAGTCACCTGGGGAGCGGCCTGAGGGGAGGGGCTCAGGCTGCCGTCACCTGTCACTGAGGACCCTGGACTGTACCCACCTGTGGAGTCACTGTGGTGGCAGGGTTTCGGATAAGGCAGCGAGGGCACCTACGGCCACGGCCAGCTTGCAAGCACTGAGGCCTCTGCGCATGCACGGCAGGCAGCAGCTGCCCTGTTCTCCCAAGGGCGCTGATGGTGTCCTCTGACCTCCAGCAGGCACTGGTCCTGCAGACCGTCAGGTGTGGTCACCATGGAAAACTCCAGTGATTCATGGTAAGAAACTGCCGAGTTCCTGGGTTAGGAAGGGAAAGGGCATCTGTTTTTGGAAGGCAGATTTGTCACTTGGAGGAGGGAGCCACAGCCACGTGGGGTGGGGGGACATAACCACACCCAAACCCCGGTGAGTCTGCCCTTTCTTTACACTGAGGGACAAGTGTGAGCCGGAACCCCTGCATTGGTTCACTTACTAAAGAGACTGTAGCCGGGTGTATGTGAATACCAGTACTTTAGGAGGCTGAGGCAAGATCAGAAATTCAAGCCCAGCCTGGGTCACTAAGGCAAGATATTGTCTCAAAGTAAATAAATAAATTGATAAATAATAAAGGGCTGGTGCTGGGCGTGGTGGCACACACCTGTAATCCCAATATTCGGGAGGCTGAGGCAGGAGGATTGCCACCAGTTCAAGGCCAACCTGAACTACATAGTGAGACCCTGTATCCAAAACACAACAAAAAACAAAACAAAAAAAAGCCTGGGGATGTAGCTTAGGGTGAGGGCCCTGGGTTTAGTTGCCTGTACTGGAGAAGTCCCAGAGTGTGCATTCCTGTGAGCCTGGCCCCTCCTTCCAGTGAGACGTGGTCTCTGCTTTGCTCCTCCTCCTGGACCTTCTTCCTGGGCTCTGTCCTCTGGTGGTTTGGCCCTGCTGGAGAGCAAGACCCTGCCTGCCTCCCCTGGAGGTCAGGTCTCTCCTGACGGCCTGAGGGTGTCCCCAGTGTTCTGCCTGAGTGCACCTGGGGCTGTGGGGCAAAGTCCTATGGGAACCGCTCCACCCGGAACATCCACATTTAAATTTTGACAAACTCAGGGCCAGGGTGCAGGAGCATAGCCTGGTATGGTGAGGCCCTGGGCTCCATCTCCGGCACAGCAAAAATTAAAATTAAAAATTGTCATTTTCAGGTTGCCAACCACAGGTTAGGCTGGGCACCCCCTGCAGTCCCCGGGGACACCTGTGCCTGCCCATGGGGTGAATATGGCGTTTCTGTCATACCCCTCCCAGGGGGGCCCATCTTTCTGGCCTCGGACAGTCGGCATAACTTATATGCCCACCCTCTGACTCTGCCACTAGGTGCGCGTGTGAGGGGCAGGGCTGGTGCCAGGTGGCCCTGTGGTCCTGGTAGGGTGCTGTGTATGCAATTCAGATCAGGTGGGGACATTTTCAGTTCCACCCTTAAGAGGCTGAGGAGTAGCTGGGTGTGGCAGCACATGCCTGTGATCCCCAGACTGACAGGCTGAAGCGGTGGGTTTTGAGTTCCAGCCCAGTCTTTACAATCTAGCAATTTAGCAAGATATTGTCTTAAAATTTAAAAAAAAAAAAACCTGGGGGGCCGGGGATTTAGCTCAGCGGTTCGGTGGCCTACCTTGCAAGAGCAAGGACCCGAGTTCAATCTCCGGTACCAAAAAATTAAATAAATAAATAAAATAAATAAAAAATAAAAGGTGGGGAGCAGGAAATCTAGGGATGTAGCTTGGTGCAAAAAGCATACTTTTTTTTTTGCAAAAAAAGGCTGGAAAGGGGCCTGTGTCAGTTGAGCCTCATGGATGAAGAGGTGTCAAAAATGAGACAGCTGGCAGGGTGGCCTCCCGACACCTCAGGCCAGGTGCTGGGCACACGTGTCCCTCCTGACCACAGTCCCTTGCCAGTGCGTGAGGAGGAAGTGATAGGAGCCTCTTACCTTCAAAGCCCAGTTCTCCGCCAGGCACACCTGTAAGGTAAGGCCTGACGCCGGAGGGTGGAGAGTTCAAGTTCAAAGTCAGCCTGGGAAATTTAGCAAGACCTTGTCTCAGACCATCACGGAGAGGGGCGTGGCCCAGTGGGGAGCAGGGCAGAGATGGTGGCTCAGCCCGCGCTCCTCCCAGCCTGTATCTCGGTCACCACCCGGCCCTGCTCTGTGCCAGTCACCTGTGCCAGTCCGGTTGACAGCAAGCCTGGTGTGCTGCGAGGTCCCTTTCCCTCACTGCACTGGGTGGCCTGTTCTGCTCCTTCTATGCCAAGAACCTGGGGCTGGAAGCGGTGCCCATGCCCGGTCCGAGCCTGGCCTCCCTCTCCCGGCAGGCCAGGGGCACAGGGAGGAGCCCTCTAGCCATGCTCACTGGGTGCTGGGTGTGTGGAGGTGCAGTTCGCCCCCTGGCAGCACTCAGGACCAGGCCTGGCCGGGCCCCCCAAGCCTGCTGCTGGCCAAGCACGGAGGACCCAGCGTTGTCCTGGGGGTGAGATGGACTCCCTGGGGTGTGAACAGGCAGGGAGAAGCCGAGCCGCCCGCCCTCAGCCACGAAGGGCACCTGCACTGCTAGCCCGGCTGGGGCTCCCCGCGGAGATTCAAGGGGTGCCAGGGGGGCAGAGATACCACGCCAAGGGCAGCGACTAAGGCAGGAGTGACCTCAGGATGCTCACCACAGGTGCTGGGGACAGAAGCTGGGACCGGAAGCTCCTTTCCTGAGACATCCAAGCCAGAGCCAGGGATCTAGAAGCAAACGCCACGGGGACGTGGCCAAAAATCACGTAGAGGTGGACGCGTGGTTGCGACGGGGACTCGGTGGGGCTTTTCCAGAGGCCTCTGTCCAGCTGAAAACGGAGTTTACAGACACTGGGCTCTCCCCACCCCACTGGAACATCAGTTGCAAGAAGGCAGGGCCCGGCCCTGTTGTGTTCGCTGCTGAGTCCCTGCGATCTCGCAGTCCGGCAGGTAGAGGGTGCTCAATAAAAACGCAGTGTGTGAGGGGCGAGCTTCTCATCATCTGCTCCTCACGGCTCCCAGGGTGGCTCCAGGTCAGGGTCTTCTGCCCACCAGCTGTGTGGCCCCGGGAAGGTTCCACACCCTCTGTGCCAGTCGGTGCCCAGCCCTTCCTTTCTGGTCCCCGGATTAGCTGCACTGTCCCTGCCCGGTTTTCGGGACGAGCAGAACGAGTCCTGCATTTCCCAGCAGAGGGCGCGCGCGCGCTGCAGACGGATGCAGCCGCCCGCTGGTCCCCAGCCGGCCTGAGGCGGGAGGGGGCGCGCAAACTCCTGCCTGCGCTTGGCCGAGGTCAGCGGGAGTCCGAGGCCCGACGGTCCCGGTGACCCTGGGTACTCTGGCTCAGGGACTGCTCCGGAGAGGCGCGGGAAACCGAGATCCAGTGAGGCCCCTCCGTTCCTGTGGTGCAGGGAAAGGACGTTTTTATTTTTCAATTATTAAATTTATTTATTTATTGCTGTACTAGGGATTGAATCCAACACCTTTGCACAGAGCTGCATCCTCAACCCTTTTCTAAGGGTCCCTCTATTGCCCAAAATGGACTGAAAATTGTGATCTTCCTGCCCCAGCCTCCCAGTGACAAGGTTACAAGTATGTGCCACAGCACCCAGCTTTGTTTTTTGAGACAGGCTCACCTCAAACTCACAGCAATCCTCCTGCCTCAGCCTCCCACGTCCTAGGATGACAGGCATGGGCTACCATGCCTGGCCCAGCTGGATTTTATTTATTTTTTTTATTTATTTATTTTGGTTTTTTGAGACAGGGTCTCACTATGTAGTTGAGACTGACCTGGAACTCACTGTGTAGCCCAGGCTGGTCTCACACTTGCAGCGATCCTCCTGCCTCAGCCTGCCAAGTGCTGGGATTACAGCTGTGCACCACCACGCCCGGCTCTCCAGCTGGCTTTTTTATTTCCAGTGTCCAGCAGCCACTTCTGACCCTCTTGGAGGAGGCTTCTGGAGCAAACCTTCCCGGCCCCCTCCTGACCCACCAGCCCCTCCTCCCACCGCCTTCTCCACCTGGTGCTGAGCCAGTCCTAGGCCCGAGCCTCCCCAGGGGCTCTCACCGCCCAGCCTGCATGCGTCTACAGAGGGCTCAGTGTACGCTGAGCTGGAGATGTAGATGGTACAAAGGGCTGAGACCCGCCCTCCGCAGGGCTTGGGACAGGAGCCACGGAAACTACGCCAGGCTATTTCCCAGGCGCCACGCAGCACTCCTAGAGGTAGCTGAGCCTCGGGGTCCAGTACCCGGCAGGGGACAGTTCCAGGTGAGGGGACAGCGCAGCAGGAGAAAGGCCCCAGCAGGAGGACATGTGTCCCACAGTCACACAGAGTGAGCACTCCGGGAGCAGATGGACAGATGGACATCAGGTGAGCCGGTGGCCCTGGCAGACCCACCACCGGCTCGGGCCCCTGGGGGAAAGTGTCCCCTGCCTGGCGGGACCAGTGGCTCAGCCTGGGTAGTGGCCTCTCCTCTCCCATAGCAGGTGCTGGGACATCTCAGGCCTGGTCTCACACCCCAGCTCCTGATGGTGCTGACCTAGTGACCGACCCAGGCAGCCCACCCACAGGCAGGGCCCCCCACACCCTTCTCTCGTGCTCTGGCACCCACCCAGGGGTTCCGGGAATGTGGCTCTTTTTCTTCCCATACTGCAGGTCAGAAAGCTGGACCGGCCACTTCCAGCCACGCTGCCCTCACTGCCTCCCTGACCCTTTGCTGAGCCGGACATGGCATCATCCAAAGGGCCCTGCATACCACAGGTCTACACAGTGATTCCAAGCCACAGAGCCACCCCAGCCTGGGACGCCAGGCCCAGCCACTCCCCAGATGCCTGCCAAGCAGGGCACACAGCAGGCAACAGCATGCAGAAAGGGCGCGTTCTGGGGGCGCTGATGAGCACTGAGGGGTAGGGAGAGACAAGAAACCAAAATCAAATGGCAAGCCGGGCGTCGTGGCGCACACCTGTAATCCCAGCACCTGGGAGGCTGAGGCAGGAGGATGGCCACAAGTTCAAGGCCAGCCTGGGCTGCACAGGGAGACCCTGGGTAAAAACAAAGCAAAACAAAAAACGGTGTAGGAGATCAGGTGGTGATGAGTACTGTCATAGAGAAACAACCCAGGGAGGGGCAGGGGTGACGGGGGGGGTGCTGTTGGAAACTAAAGCACCCAGAAGCCATCTGAGGAAGGACCTGAGGTGGATAACGGGGTGCATCGCGCCAGCGTGGGGGGCAGCGGAAACAGCCCTGAAGCAGGATGCGGGGGGTTGCTGTTGGAAACTAAAGCACCCAGAAGCCATCTGAGGAAGGACCTGAGGTGGATAACGGGGTGCATCGCGCCAGCGTGGGGGGCAGCGGAAACAGCCCTGAAGCAGGCGTGTTCTGGGCTGCGAGACACTGCCAGGAGGCCAGTGCGAGGGGTGGGGGTGCCTGGGGCCAGGGACGCGGCTGCTGTGCACCAGGCCCAGAGGCCCGCGGCCCTGCATTCCCTGGAGGGAAGTGGGAAGGCCGAGCCTCCGGGAAATGCTTCCAGCAGGGCACCTCCTCCTGCCGCCGAGGGGACGCGGGGCCCACAGTGGGGCCTGGAGAAAAGGCAGAGGACCTGGGTCCCCAAACTGTAGCCCGAGACCACGGAGGGAAGGCGGGGTGCTGGATGGAGCCCATGGAGCCCAAATGGAGGGGCCAAGGAGCGGCCAGTGCAGAGCGATGGGGACAGGTTCCAGGGAGGCCCTCGTGGACACAGAGCCTAAGGTCCCCGTCAGGAAGGGGCCCCTGCTGCAGGTACAGCCCCCCGGGCACCAGGCCGGGATAGGGCAAGCGCTCCACCACACAGCCCTGGAGGCTTCTGACAGCGCTACGGAATCGAGGCCCAGAGAGGCTGAGTGACTTGCTCAAGACCACACAGCTCTGGGTCGCAAAGCAGAATTCAACTCTGAACAGCACAGCCCAGAGCCAGGGGCCTCCACTGCCCACACCTCAACCCAGGACGAGGCCTGGTTTGCACTCCAAGCCCCAAGGGTGCCAGAAGCCCCTCTGGCCTCCCAAGCTCACCCTCAGCCTGGCCCAAATTTTACACATGAAGCGTCGGGGCTCCGTGAGGTGAAGAATGCGCCGAGGGGCGCCAAGCAGAGCTGGGGTCTGAAGTCAGCACCTCGGCCCGGCCCCAGCACGGTCTGGGCCGGAGCTGTCCTTCCGGCCGGCCCAGAGCCCGGGGCCCCGTGGGTGAAGCAGGCACTGAGAGCAGCTGCGAGCTCCCTGGCTTCCTGGTACAAGCACCTTCTCGTGACTCGCCAGGCAGGCCACCCGCAGAAGAGGAAGCCGCCAGCCCTGCCCATCCTTCCGGGGACCCTGGAGGCACTGAGAGGAGCCTGGTGGCCCCGAGTGACCGTGAGCAGGATGCTGGCGTCTGTCACCTCGCCACAACTACAGGGAGCCGCCCCGCCTGCCCTCAGGGCTCAGCCACTCGCCCCGCCTGGTGTCCTCTACCTGAGAAACCAACCACACCTGATCCCACGCCCGGCAGAGAGGCACCCACGGGGCCACCAAGCACAGGCCAGTGGGGCAGCGCGACGCCCGTGTGCGTGGTGACCTCTGCCCCAGCTTGCTCAGCAGTGTCCCGAGACAGCCCGGCTGGCCAGACCTTCCTGGCAAGGTCACAGAGCCCTGGCACGGCCTCGGGTCTGCTGGCGGGGAGCGGCGCCCAGAGGGGGCACCACTGATGGGGAGACGAGTCCATCACAGGGCTGCTGCGCCTGCCCTAGGAGGGCCCTCTGACAGCACGGGGTCCTCGAGTCTGGGGGACCAGCCGTGACTGCGGGTGTGGACAGGTCGTGGGCCCAAGTCCAGGCCCCTCCACCTGTCCCCTGTGTGACACGGGAGCGATGGCGGCCGGGAGTGGCCTCTCCTGAGCCACGATGGGGCTCCCTCTGCGGCAGCAGGGTTTGGACACCGATGGCCTCAGCACAGGGAGACCCCAGGAGGAGCCAGCAGGCAGGGACAGCTCCTGGTGCTCACGGGACACTCGGGGCCATCACGTGTTACAACCGTGGGGCAGCTCTGGCCAAAGATGCTGCTGGACCTCCGTGGGCTCCGCTGTGTCACCCACCAGGCAAGGAGCAGACCTGGCCCTGGGCTACTGCCTCTCACCTGCTGCGCACCCCTGCACGGGTCTGTCCTTCTGTCATTGGCCTCTGCAAGGCCAACCTCAGCAACGGGGGCAGGGCCAGCGAGCAGAGGCCGTGAGAGAGACAGAAGGAAAAGTCACAGGGATGGAGCTGGTGACGGCACCAGCAAAGTCCAGAGACTGGGCCAGCGTGTCGCTAAAGTCCCTCGGTTCTCTTTACCGCAGCCTGTGCTCCAAGCGTATTATTTACCCAATTTGGCAGATGAGGGCACAGAGATACTAAGCAATTTGCCTGAGGTCACACAGCAAGACAAGTGGCAGAGCCGAGATGGGACCTGGGCTTCAGGGCCCAAGGCACCACCCTCTGCCCCCTCTCTCACCAGGGAATCCAGGTTGTTGCTACAATGACAAGCGACGTCTGCGCCACCACGCAGAAGGCCCTGGACACCATGCCAAGGGCCCCGTTTGTGGTGGGTTCCCCAGAGAGGGGCAGAGATGGTCGGAATTTCACACAGCTGCCCGCCTTAAACCAACTTCACAACCCTCCCAGTCTGGGCCAGGCTTTGATTCCAGTCACTTCACGAGCATGAAATCTAACTTTGGGTCCCTCAGGGGCATTGAGCTCCGTGGGGGATGGGGTGGTCTCGTGGAGACCCCCAGACAGGGCAGAGGTCAGGGCATCTGAAAGCTCCAAGCTAGGCAAGTCCAGTAGGATTCAAAGCGCGCTCTCTCCTCTCTCTCTTCCTCATTTTAAAATTTTTATTTATTTGTTTGTTTATTGCAATAGGGTCTCACTGTGTAGCCCAGGCTGGCCTCAAACTCAAGATCCTCCTGCCTCAGCCTCCCAAGTGCTGGGCCTGAGGAATGTGCCATCACGCCTGGCTCTTGATCACTTCTCTTAGCCTGCTGTGCCCCAGGCCCTCCACCTGCTCACGGTGGCTGCCAAATCTCCATAACAGGGGCTGCAACATCGGGGGAGCTTCCCACAAATCACTGGTGGGGAAACCGAGGCTCATCAAGAAACAGCACTCAGCACAGAGCCAGGATCTGGGCTCTGTCTTCTGCATCCTGCTGCTCCCAACCTCCGGAGCCAGAGCCACAGCCAGAGAATGAGGCAGATGGGTGCCTGGCACAGGCTGCACCCAGAGGCGATGCAATCCCCTGGACTCTGCCAGGCCGCAGCTCCCCTGCAAGGCGTCAGGAGGCAGAGAATCCCGGGACCAGCTGAGGTCTGCAGCTCCTCATACCCACCGTCCCTGCTACACTGCATCCAGCTCCCT